CTCTGAGGATCCCCACAACGGCTCGAGGTTGAGCCGGATCCGCAGGAGCGACTCGTCGACGCCGTGGCTCACGTCCTCCACGCAGGCGTAGAACGCGTCTATCTTGCCGCGGCGTTTCGCCGTAGACAGCGACGCGAGGCCGGCAGAGTTCGAGTGGTTCAGGGCGTAGACGAGGCTGTGGGCGCCGAGGCGCCAGGCCAGGACCGTCTCCGCGATCTGCTCGTCGTCGTACTGCTTGGGCCGGTACAAGCCCGAGGCGGCCTTCTTGAAGACGTCGATCATGGCGTGCGGCGACGCGCCGCGCCGCAGCTGGAGCGCGAAGAGCTCGCGCACCCTTGAGAGCTTGTTCGTCGCGATCAGCACCATCAGCTGCTTGTAGGTGTCGAGCTTGCGCATGGCCGTCGCGAGACGTCGATCGCGTCCGAGTAGGGCCAGCCGGAGACGCTCGGACCGCTCGTAGAAGCGGCGCTGCCCCTGGTCCTTCTGCGCGTTCGTCAGGTAGACCTTGCTGATATTGGAGGCGCCGAGGTCGACGATCCGCGCGCGCACCTCGGCGTGTTCCAGGTACTCGCCCTCGTTTGGGACGCCGATGCACGCGCCGCAGCTCACGTCGTCGCCGAAGACGATGAGCTCGCACTTCGTCGACCGGACGCAGTCCGTCCTCGCATCGTAGTAGAAGTTGAGGCCGGGCACGACGGAGCGGAGGTCGTGAGGGAAGTTGTAGGAGAGCGGCGCCTCGAACTCGTGCTCCACCCCGCAGCACGTCGCCGCGTTGCTCCGCTCAGAGAGCGGCGCCTCGAAGTAGTCCTCGAAGCCGCCGAGCATGACGGAGTAGTCGCCGGCGAAGTCGCCCCCCGCGGGGGTCCTGGTCGCGACGGACGTCGACGTCGCCGCCGCCGCCGCCGGGCGCTGGTCGCCACGGGCGGTGCCCGCGAGGAGCGTCGAGCGCCGCTCCGCCATGGATTGACGCGCCTGGTCGTCCATGCGCGCGCGCTTGACCGCGGGGGCGTAGCTCGTCACGACGAAGCCGCGCGGCGGCGGCGGCGTCGTCGACCTATGGGCGCCGGTCACGGAGCGTGCGCGCGCGCGGACGCCGAGCTGCGACGTTTCGATCTCGTCGTCGGTGTTGTCGCCCGACGCGGCGGGGGCGGCGGGCGCGACGAAGACGCCGTCCTCGCCGTCGGACTGGACCTCGAGCTGCTCGTCCGCTGGGACAAGGTCCCGCGCGGTCGCGGGCGCCGGCGCCGGCGCTGACGCTGGCGCTTTACGAATGGTGAAGAATGTCTGCCCCTTGAGCAGCGGGGGGGCCTTCTTGGGCTTGGCCGTGTGGGCGCTCCCCCTGTAGTGCTTCACCGCGTTCGAGCGCCCTCGATGGAACGTCGACTCGCCGAACCAGAAGTAGTCCTTGTCGTCGCCGGTCCCGGAGGTGCACTCGGGGTCCGCGCACCCGAGGGCCTTGTCGCGCTTCCGCGTGACGAGCCTGTGCGTCGCGCCGTCCACGTCGAACTCGAAGAAATAGAAGCCGCGGTCGTCGTACCCGTCGTCCTCGTCGGTCGGAGTAGGGAGGCGAAGAGCTTCCCACTCTCGCTTCGCCGTCGCGGTCATGACGCCGGAGGCCACGCGCCGCACCCGGAACCGTGGTCGCGGGGCGCGCCCCCGCGGCGGACGAGACGACAGGCGACGCGACTGGCGACGTCTGCTTTCGAATGACTAGCTGCCGGGCTGCCGAATGGGTGGCTCTCATTGGCCAGCCAGCCAGCCAGCCAACATCTACCTCACGGTCAGCCAAACCGGGTCCCGGCGGAGGGTTGTTATCGTGGACTGCCCTAGGGCGCATGGCCTTGTCGGCTGCGCGCCTCGCCGCGCCGGCGGCGGCCGTCGCCGCGCTCCTCGCCTTCGACGTCCTGCGACGACACCACAAAAAGCGCGACGAGGCGGCGACGGTCGCGCGGGAGCTCCAGGAGCTCCTGGCGCAGCTGAAAGCGCTCAACAAGACGGCCTTCCTCGTCGTCACCAACAGCGCCGGCGACGCCTTCGCGGAGAAGGCCCTGGCGAGCTACGCCAAAAAGAAGTGCGGCTCGAGCGCCGGGTCCGTGCTCGCCGACGCGCGAAGACTCGTCGCCACACTCGCGGCCGCGGCGCCGCCGCGCGCGTCGGACTTCGGCCCGGGGACCGCGGCGCGGCGGCTCAAGCACGCGCTCGTGCGCGGCGCCGTGTCGCCTACACTCCTCGCCGAGCGCTTCCCCGCGGTCAAGGCGGCCTACGTGCAGCAGGCCCTCGACTACGGCCGCCACAGCCGGTACGGCGACAGGTGGAAGATCTCGTGCTATTTAGTGGTACTGGAAAAATGGAAGCCGAAGATCATGCCCCACGCGCCCATGGTCGACGTCATGGGCGACGTCATGGAGCTGTGCCGACTTCGCTTCGAGGCCTGGTACGCGGAGCGCTTCGGGCTCTCGCGCTGCGACGCCGCGGTCATGAACTGCTTCCTCACGCGCTACCGGCCCATGCCCGACGAGCGCGAGCTCCAGAAGCACATCGACGGCGCCAACGTCGACGGCTCCGTGATCCTCGCGCTCCCGACGGACGCGCCCTTCGCGGGCGGCGGGCTCAAGGTCTGGGACGGCGGAAGGCCGCCCGCGGAGCACGACTACGCCATGAAGCCCGGCGACTGCATTTTCCTGGATGCGCGCGTCTGGCACCAGGGCTGCCCCATCACGACCGGCGAGCGCTACGCCCTCGTCCTCTTTTTGAAACTGACGAAGACGCCCTAAGCGTGGTTCACCACCGGACCTTATCCGTGACCCACTGGAAGGCGGTCTCGACGCCCTTGCCGCTCTCGGCGGACGTCTCGATGACCTTGAGGTCGAGGCGGAGGTGGAGCTGGAGCGTCTCGAGGTTCAGCGCGGCCTTGACGGCCTCCGCGTTCAGGGGCGCCTTCGCGCCGCCCTCCGGCGGCTTCAGGGGCGTCGCCGTCGACCCGTCGCACTTGTTGGCGAGGATGAGCAGGGGCAGCGCCTTGAGCGCCGGGTGCGCGTAGAGCGTGTGGAGCTCGCGGCGCGCGATCGCGACGCGGTCGACGTCGGTGACGTCGACGACGAAGATGACCGCCTGGACCTGGGAGCAGTAGGACATCCAGAGCGACCGGTAGCGGCCCTGGCCGCTGCAGTCCCAGATGCGCCAGGACACGATGGCCCGCCGGTGGCACCGGTGCTGCGACGACCGCGCCTGCTTGAACGTGACGAGCTGCATGGACGTCGTCGGCGCCGTGAACAGCTCCTCGACGTCGTTGGCGACCATCCAGCGGTGCAGTTTGTCCCGCACGGGCGGCAGGCAGCAGAGGACGCTCGTCTTGCCCGCGTTGTCGAGGCCCACGAGCAGCGCGGACCGCGTCCGCGTCTTCGAGATGATGGACCGGCAGCACGTGTTCTCGATGCCCGTGAGCACGCGCCGCGTGGCGTGGGAGCACTTCTCGTAGGTGTCCTCGGCGGCCTTGAGCACCGTGTCGAGGCAGCCCTGCATGCTCGTCCCCATCGCGCGCGGGCCGCGCACCGGGAGATTACGAATGGGGCAGCCCCTTGAAGTCGGCACCGTGGCGGCTGTGTCGGCTGCCCCGGTAAGCACGATGGGGATTGCCTTCCTCGCGCTGGCGCTCGTCGCCCGCGCGGCCCGCGCCGTGGACACCTACGTCGCGGCCGAGACGTCCTACGTGAGCTGGGCCTCCCAGGCGCTCGACGCGCGCCTCGCGGAGGCGATCCAGACGTCCATCGTCACCCAGGCCGGCGCGGCGACGAACTTTTATCTCGGCGCCGACGCGCCCTGGGCGACGGCCGCCGGCCGGGACGCCGTCGCCCACGCGCTCTACGCGCACATGACCTCCGTGGACGCCAGCGTCTACCACCTCTGGGCGGCCTTCGAGGACGGCGGCTTCCTCGGCTACTACAACGAGGGCGTGTTGCTCAACGGGTCCGTCGCCCAGGGCTTCATGGCCAACGAGTCCTGGGCCTGCGGCGCCTACGGCGTCGGCGCCCCCTGCCGCGAGTACTTCGCCGTCGACCGGGTCGCGGGCGGCCGCGCGGCGACCTTCGACGCCGCGGACTACGACGCGCGGACCCGGGATTGGTACGCGGACGTCGCGGCGTCGTTCAACGCGTCGGCCTGGAGCAGCGTCCCGTGGCCGCGACGATGTTCGAGAGATGGTGGGTGGGAAGACGATGGGAAATCGTCACCGTCACGCTTCGTAGGCCTGGAGCGCGATCTACCGCGACATGACCATCGGCACGCACGCCATGGCGCTCTGCGCGCCCCTGCTGGCGCCCACGGCGCTTTCAGTGACCCACTGCGGCGAGGACTCGCGACGGTGCGACTTCGTCGGCGTGACCTGCACGGGCGTCGTCCTCGCGACCCTCGACGGCGCCTTCCACCAGGGCGCGTCCGAGAGCATGATCACCTACGCCTTCGAGCTCGACACGGGCCGCATGACGGCCTGCAGCCAGCGCGGCAAGGTCGACGTGCCCGACGACGAGCTCGTCGACGGCGCCGAGGTCCAGCTCCAGGACGCCTACAACCACTCGGACCGGCGCATCCGGCGGTCCAGCGGCCTCATCCGCGAGCTGGGCATCCACAGCGCCGCGCCGGGCGCGCCCGTCGTCTACGTCGCGCTCGACGAGGACCGCACCGACGGCGTCGACGAGAACGGCTTCGTGACGTATCAGCGCTTCGCGAACGAGTACGGCCTCGACTGGGGCCTCGTCTACGTCGAGCCGCTCTCCTGCCCCTACGGGACCTACTTCGGCGGCGACGTCGACACCGAGGGCGTGGCGCGCTGCGCGGAGTGCCCGGACCACTTCGACTGCGGCGCGGGCGGCGTGGCGACGGAGACGCTCCTGCCTGTGCCGAAACCAACCACTGGTTTGGGGGGTCCCCACCAAACTTGAGAATTCTCTAGCTCGGTCAAATCGAAGTCGATTCGGCTGATTTTTGGACGAATCGATTGCTCTCAGCGAGTTCTCGAAGCAGAGCAGAAAGCCTTGCGTCAAAACGGTCGCATACGCTCACATTGAAGTCGGGTTGAAGATTTGGTTTCGGCACAGGCTCCTGCTCGAGGCGGGCTACATGCGCATGTCGACGGCGTCGACGGAGGCGCTGCCCTGCGTCGGCGGCAACGAGAAGATCTGCCCCAAGGAGGCCGGGCGCGTCATGTGCAGCGAGCGCCACGACAACTACGGGCCCTACTGCGGCCTCTGCAACGACCACTTCTGGATCGACGCGGCCGACGAGCACTTCTGCAAGGAGTGCGGCTCGGGCGTCGGCTTCCGCTACGTGCTCACGCTCCTCTTCCTCGGCGTCGGCACGGTGCTCCTGCTCTTCTTCCTGCTCCAGATGGCCGCCGCGAACTACAGCGACACGGGCGCCGGGTCCCAGCGGTCGGGGGCCATGATGCGCCTCCGCAACAAGCTGCGCTCCAAGTGGAAGGTCGTCTTCGTCGCCGCGCAGGTCGTCTACTCCATGCCGTCCGTCGTGCCGGCGCTCCGGTACCCGTCGGGCTACCACAAGGTGGCCAAGGCGCTCGCCGTCGTGAACCCGAACATCTCGCTCATCCTCCCCATGGCCTGCCTGCTCACGGGCGGCGCCAACTTCTACGACGAGCTGCTGGCGAACACGATCCTGCCCATCGTCGTGACCGTCGCCATCGTCGCGCTCGCGGCGGTCGCGCGCCTCTGCCTCCACGTCTGGCGGACGACGTGCAGGGCGCCCGCGCGGACGTCCTGCGTCGAGCGCGCGCCCGCGCCCGCGGCCGACGACGACGGCGACTGGGAGGAATCCGTGTCCTTCGCCGCGCCGCCGCCGCCGGACGACGGCTCCGACGGCGGCGCCGCGCCGCCGACGGCGGACGACGGCGCGCCGACGCCGCCGGAGGCGCCGCCGTCGCCGGAGGCGCCGCCGTCGCCGGAGGCGCCGCCGTCGCCGGAGGCGCCGCCGTCGCCGGAGGCGCCGCCGTCGCCGGAGGCGCCGCCGCCCGCGGGCGTCGACTCGGACGAGGACGTCGCCTACGCGCGCCGGCTCCTCCATCGGTCCGCGACCGCGCGGCCCGGGGCGGCGCCGACGGACGCGCGCGCCGCCGCGCGCGGCGCGCTCTCGTCCGACGCGCCGCCGCCGCCGCCGCCCGGGGCGCGCGCCGCGCTCTCCGTCGACGCGCCCCCCGACGGCGGCGCGCCGGCCGCGGCGGAGGACGAGGCGCCCGAGGTCCCCGCGAAGGAGCAGCGCCACCACGAGTCCTGGGTCGACGAGATGCTCCTGGGCGACTACAACGACCACGGCGACGGCGCGTGGTACGAGGTCGACTGGGTCGGCTGGCGCAAGTCGACGACGGCCGTGGGCGTGCTCGTCTTCTACTGCATCTTCCCCGTCGTCAGCGCCTGCTGCATCTCCCTCTTTGCCTGCGAGTCGCTCGACGACCGCGACGGCGTCGGCGTCACGCACCGGCTGCGAGTGGACAGCGGCATCCGGTGCACGGGGCCGACGTACCGCTACTACCAGCTCTACGCGGGCATCATGATCTTCGTCTACCCCATCGGCGTGCCCCTCGCGTTCTCGCTGTTGCTCTGGTCCCACCGCTCGGAGCTCGACCCGCTCGTCGACGGCCGCGTCGCGCGCGAGCTCGAGAACGACGGGCCCGAGCGCGGGGCGGGAACAGGGTGATTCGGGTTCGCGTCAACGTGTGTTCCGCGCGCGATTGTTTTGAAAACAAGCGTCCACGTTTCGAGAGCGCTCCGAGAGATGATCGCTCGTCCAAAAGTCAGCCGAAACGAGTGGAACATGACCGAGATAGGAGCCTTTGAAGTTGGGAATTTCGCACCCTTTCCCTGCCCAGGCCCGAGCGCGTCGCGCGCGCCTTGGAGGTGCGGCACCGGACCGTGTCCGTGCACCACCTCGAGCTCTTGTACGGGCCCTACGAGCCCGAGTACTACTACTGGGAGGTCGTCGAGACCGCGCGGCGGCTTCTGGCGACGTCGGCGCTGCTCCTCATCCCGTCGATGATCCTGCGGATCGTCGTCGCGATCCTGATCTCCATGGCGACGTTGAAGCTTTACGGGTACTGCGAGCCCTTCGTCGACCGGTCCGACGACATCCTAGCGGAGACGCTCCAGTGGATCACGTGCCTGCTCATGCTCAGCATGCTGCTGACGAAGACGAACGCGGACAACGTGCAGTACTACATGATCGCGCTCCAGTGCTTCGCCGTCCTCGGGGTGACCGTGCTGATCTTCAGCGACATCGGCCGCGAGCGCAAGGCCATCAAGGACCTCGCGAGGGAGTTCCACGACATCGGCCGGACGTTGAAGGTCCCGGACTTCGTGCCGGACCTCCGCGTGCCCGAAATTTGGCAGAGCCACCTCCGGGACTACACGCCGCGGCAGCTGCGCAAGTCCCCGCGGTCGCCGGACCCGCCGCCGGAGGCCCGCTTCAAAGGCGCCCGCGACTCCCTGGCCCTCCGGCCGCCGAAGACGCCGACCGACGAGGAGGCGGGCGTCGAGCTCCCGCGCGCGGCGCGCGTCTAGTTCGCGCGCCCTAGTCCCAGGCCGGCGCGTCGCCGAAGGCCCAGCCCGGCGGGCCGTGGTGCCCCGGGGCGACCTGGTCCACGGCGATCGTCGCGTGCGCCTCCGAGAGCGCGCCCCGGCACGCCGCGTAGCACCCGCGGGGCGTCGCGCCCGTCGCGTTCCAGGCCGACCCGGGCCGCGCCGCGAGGCCGGCGTCGGCGCGCCGCGGGAGCGGCACGGCGTCGCAGGGCGCCGTGGCCCCGCCGAGCGGGTCCTTGAGCACGAACTTGCCCGTGGACGCGTAGTGGCGCCGGACGTCGCGCCTTCGCGGCGCGCCGAAGCCGTCGTCGAAGGGCGCGAGGCACTTGGGCGAGTTCAGCCCCTCGGACCGCTCCCGCCAGCCGCCGGGCGCGTCGTAGTCGACGACCTCCTCGTGGAAGAGGCCGTTGTCGTTCGCGGACGCGGAGAGCACCAAGGTCTTGACGCCGAGCAGGCAGGCCAGCACCATGAGCAGGCCGTCCCAGGCGGCCCAGGCGTGGGGGCAGTCGCCGCGCCGGTAGCGGCGGACGTCGCGGCAGCCGTTGCCGTCGCTGCGGGGCCCCACGGAGCAGACGCCCGCGAACCAGTGGAGCCCGAGGGACCGCGCGTCCGCGACGTCGTCGGCGACGCGCCTCGGGTGGGCCGCGAGGTTTCCGTCGGCGCCCCAGACCCTGGACCGCCAGGCGTTCCAGACGCCCTTGACGTGGCGGTAGCCCCCGACGCTCCGGCAGGGCGGCTCGCCCGCGAAGAGGAGCGCGGCGACGGCGTCCGCGAGCGCCGCATCGGGGTAGCGCCGCGCGACGTCGCGGAGCGCCGCCTCGCGCAGGCCCAGGAGCGCCGCGACGCGGTGGAGCCGGTCGTCGCCCCCGTCGCGCGCGCCGACGGCGCGGAGCATGCCGACGACGGCCGTCGCCTTGGACTTGCTCACGAAGGGCTCGCCGACGCGGAGGAAGACGCCCGTGCCCCTCCAGGCGTTGGCGAAGAGGCCGAAGACGCCGCCGCGCGCGTGGGGGAAGCCGCTCTCGGCCCAGGCCGCGCCGCCGCACTGCTCGACCTCGACGGCGTCGCCCCGTTTGAGGCCGTCGAAGCGGCTCGCGTTGCCGACGGCGAAGCGGCCGCGCCGCGGGTCCTCCGGCCGGGCGAAGCCGCGGCCGCCGTCGAGGCCCAGCGGGTCCAGCGCGTAGCGCGCGATCGCCGCGGGGCTCGTCCAGCTCGGCGCGGGGCCGAGGCGCGCGCCGACGGCCGCGCGGAGGCTTTCGGGGACGCGCGCGCGCGCCGCGAGGCGCACGCCGAGGACGCGCCAGCGCGTGAAGGACCCCCGCGCGAGGCCCGCGGCCTTGACCTCGGCGCTGAGCTCGTCCGTCGTCGCGTCGGCCGCCGAGAAGTACGCGCCCGGGGGCAGGTACGGCGGCCGCGGCGGAGCGGGGAGCCCCGCGACGGGCCCGCAGGCGCCGCGGGGCGACAGCGCGCCCAGCCGCGCTTCGCCGCAGTCGTAGAAGTAGTCCAGGGACTCGTAGAGCGCGACGACGCGCGCGTCGCTCGCGGCGTCGATGGACGCGCGCCCGGCGGGGTAGACGGCGCGCAGGTAGGTCCGCACGGCGCCGACGTCTTCGCCGGCGACGTCGTCGCCGCCGGCGACCGCGCCGGCGACGGCGAGCCAGCGGAGGGCCGCGCGCATCGGGCGGGCGCTGCCGATCGTGATCAATAAACCGCGCGAGAGCAGCCCATGCTACTAGACTCATTCATTACTAATCCATCATGATCACAAGACGCCTACGGCATCTTGCCCCTGCCGGGGGGGCTTGCCTGCGGCGCGGCGAGAGCGCGCCCTTCGGGCGCGCTCGCGCGAGCTGAGCCACTCATTCCCGTGTCAATGCTTCCCTCTGCACCGCTCGCGCGACGACAGCCATTTAATTTCCGTACGGCGGGGGAACCGGCACGCACAACTCACGCATATATATATGGATGGTCGGACGGCGGCATGTTGACGCCAATACGACACCGTCGGCCTCGGAGGGCTTGGAAGAAGCCTTTGCGATGCTGATCGTTCTTGCGAGCTGCTGGTCGGCGGTGGCGCTCCAGACGTCGTTGCCGACGCCGGTCGGTCCGTTCTGTCCGTTCCGCAGCGAGTACTGCGCGCGCGACGACATCGATGCGCGCATGGCCGAGCTGTCGTCGTTGGCGCCGGAGCTGTCGCGCCGCGTCGCCGCGATGACGCTCGACATGCAGATGGGCAACGCGCCGTCGCCCGGGCTCGTCGGCGACGTCGCCAAGGAGATGCGCCGGGCGCGCGACGCGCACCGGGCCGTCTCGGAGGAGCTCAAGCGGTCCGACGACTTCCAGGCGCTCGAGTACGCGGCGCTCACGGCGGCGGCCCTCGAGCGCCGCGGCGGCGACGAGGCCATGCTGGAACGCATCGTCGACCTGCAGATCGGCGGCATGGAGGCCTTCGCGGCGGGCCGGCCGCCGCCGACGCCGACGCCGGAGGAGGCGAAGGCCATCGCCGCGATGGCCGAGGCCGGCGGCGGCCCGCCGCCGCTCGTCAGCCAGCCCTCCCAGGTGACGGCCCTGCCGTTCTCCGACGACTCGCCCGCGCTGCGATCCGACGTCGTGCGCGAGGAATTCGCGAGCCTCTCGCGCGACCACCGCGCGCTCATCGACTTCGGGAGCAGCTACGGCGCCTGGGACGGCTTCGGCCAGCGCGCGTACCTCGACCAGATCGACGCGATCGAGGAGCGGTGGGCCGTCTTCCTCGGCCGCTTCAAATTGCTCGGCGACCTCAACCCCGAGTTCCTCGAGCAGACCGACGCGTTCCTCGAGGGCATCGGCCTCTCGCGGGCCGAATACCTCGAGCTGCACGCGCAGTCGCACGCGCGCCTCCGCGCGGCCGCTAAAGAAGACTACTAGCGCGCCAGCGCCCGGAGGCTGTCCCGCGCGAGCGCGCGGAGGTCGAGGGCGAGCGCGGGGAGGCCCGCGCCCGTGACCGCGGAGGCGGAGACCACGACGCCGGCGCCGCCCGCGGCGGCCCGGAGCGCGTCGAGCTTCGCGGCCGCGTCCTCCGCGACGTCGACCTTGTTCAGCACGACGGCATACGACTTCGCGGCCACGGCCGGCGAGTAGGCCGCGAGCTCCGCGCGGATCGCGAGAAAGTCGCCCGCCGGGTCCGCCGCGGCGCCGTCGACGACGTGGAGGAGCGCCGCGGACCGCTCGACGTGCCTCAAGAACTCGCCGCCCATGCCGCGGCCCGCGTGCGCGTCCTCGACGAGCCCCGGCACGTCGAGCACGCGGACGGCGTCGGCGTCGCCCGTCGCCGCGGCGGCGTAGTTCACGACGCCGAGCTGGGGCGCGAGGGTCGTGAAGGCGTACGCCGCGACCTTGATGTCGGCGTTCGACAAAGCCCTCAGGAGCGACGACTTTCCCGCGTTCGGCAGGCCCACGAGCGCGACGTCGGCGAGAATCTTCAGCTCGAGGTCGACGAATGCCTCCTCGCCGTCGTCGGCGGCGGCGTGGCCGAACTCGGCGCCGCCCGCGGCGCGGCGCCGGCCCCCGACGCCGTTGCCCCAGCCGCCGCGGCCGCCGCGCGCGGCGAGCAGCGACGCGCCGTCGACGAAGAGGTCCACGCTTTCGCCGCCGACCGTGGCCACGGTCCCCCGGGGCACCGACACCTCCGTCGCCGCCGCGTCGCGGCCTTTGCGCAGCGACGGGCCGCCGTCGCCGCCGCGGCCGCCGGCGACGCGCGTCCGCCGCGGGTCGAGCGCGTCGACGGCGCTCCGCGCGACGACGACGACGTCGCCGCCGCGGCCGCCGCTCCCGCCCGCGGGCCGCCGCTTGTTCGGCGACCCGAAGCGGCTCTCGAAGGCCACGGCGCCGAGGCCGCCGCGCCCGCCGACGGCGACGAGCCGCACGCGGTCCGCGAAGCGCTCCTGGGCGAGCCGGCGCAGCGCCGTGCGCGCGACCATCGCGACGAGCGCCGACGTCGCGCACACCGAGCGCCTCAGTGCCTCAGCGTCCCAGTGCCTCGGCGCCTCTACGCCTTCAGTGGTGCTGCTCCAGAGTCCGGTTCATCGATTTACCACGCTCTCAAAGTTGAAGCGGAGTGCGCGAGTGCGCTCACGTTGAATGGCGCCGGGGCAGCTCCAGCCTGCGCGCTCATCCGAGAACCCAGCGCCTGCGATATGGGCGCGCGCGCGAGACGACCATCCCTCACCATGGTGGTGGCAACCTAGGCCCGTCGACGCCATGGGCTCGACGCCCTCGAAGAAGTACGCCGAGCCGGACCGGGCGCTCGCCGCGTCCCCGCCGAGCCAGCTCGAGCGGAACCCGTCGGCGTCGGCGCCCGACGGCGGCGGCGCGTCGCCGGACAAGGGCGGCGTTTCGCGGCCCGGGCGCGGCAGCGGGCGCGGCATGCGGGCGACGATCACGCAGATGCGGGCGGCGCCGACGCAGCTCTACGGGCGGCTGTCCACGCTGCGGAAGGACCGGAGCTCCGTGAAGCGGCTGCGGAGCCTCGTCGTCTCCTCGCGGAGCCTCGTGCGCTACGAGGACGCCTTCGAGGACGCCGGCGGCATCATCCTGGGCGAGGGCCGCCAGGTCGTCGTGCGCCAGGCCATCCGGCGCGAGGACCGGGCCGTCGTCGCCGTGCGGCGGCTGACGACGCGCGACGTCTCGTTGGCCGAGCTGCACCGCCAGCTCAGCATCTTCGAGCTCGTGAGCAAGCAGTGCGTCCACCGGAACATCGTGAAGATCGAGGGGTTGAGTTTCTCCGACGACGACGAGTCGCTCCACGTCATGTTCAAGATCTACCGCGGGGGCGAGCTGCTCGACGCCATCGTTAGAAGCGACGCGCCCTGGTCCGAGGAGGACGCGCGGGGCCTCGCGAAGCGGCTCCTGGAGGCGCTGCGGTGCTGCCACGCGTCCGGCATCGCCCACCGCCAGGTCCGCGCGGAGAACGTGCTGCTCAAGGCGGAGAACGACTTCGCGGGCATCGCGCTCGGCGGCTGGTCGCTGGCCACGACCACGGACGCGCCCGCGGACGAGGCCTCCGTCGACGTCGTCGGGGCGAGCCTGGACCTCCAGTACACGGCGCCGGAGGTCTTGGCGGCGTGCGGCGACGGCGGCGCGCCGCCGCCGGGCGCCTTCGCGACGGCCCAGGACGTCTGGGCGCTCGGCGTGCTGCTGCACGTGCTCCTCGCGGGCCACCCGCCGCTGGACCAGGAGCGCCTCGACGAGGACGCCATGCGCGCGGCCATCCCGGCCTACGTCTTCGACGACGGCGCGCCCTGGACCGCGAACGTGAGCGCGGGCGGCCTCGCGTTCCTCAAGCGCATGCTCGTCGTCGACCCCGCGCGGCGGCCCGGCGCCGGCGAGCTCCTCCAGGACGCCTACATGCGCAGCGCCGTGCCGCGCGCGACGGTCCTCGACACCGCGGACCTCGCCAAGTTCGCCGAGCGGCGCAAGAAGAAGTTCCGGCCAGGGCAGGAAAAGAGAGTGAAATTCCCAACGTCAAAGGTTCCGATCTCGGCCGTTTTCCACTCGTTTCGGCTGATTTTGGGACGAGCGATCATCTCTCGGAACGGTCTCGAAGCACGGATGCTTGTTCCGGAACGCGCGCGCGCGCAGAACACTCACGTTGAAGCGACGTTGAATCACTCTTTTCCTGCCCAGGTTCAAGCGCGCGAAGACGAAGCTCAAGTTCGTCGTGTCGATGATCATCCAGGCGAACCGCGCGAAGAAGCTCACGCAGGCCATCATGGAGGGCGTCAAGAAGGAGGAGGCCGAGGCGGCCGGCGACGCCGCGCCCGCCGCCGACGCCGCGCCGACGACGGGCGCCGCGGCGCCCATCGCCGACGCCGCGCCCGACGACGACGTCGAGGACACGCTCATCCTCTGATAAAACAAAAAAGTTAGGGAGCGGCTCGGCGACGGCTAGTCGTGCTTCTTGTAGACTTCGTAGTCGTAGTCCGCATCCTTCGACGGGCACGTCTTCGAGACGAAGCAGGCGTAGCAGGAGTGGGTCAGGGACGTCGAGAAGTACTCGCAGTCGTCGATCTCGTCGCAGGCGGCCGCGCACTTGGACTTCCCCCGAGGTGGTGGTCGTCTCCGCCGCCGTCAAGCCGCTCGCCGCGGGCGCGGCGGTGCTCGGGCCGGGCGTCGTCGCGTCGTCTGTCGCGTCGTCGCGCCGACCATGGGCCGCTTCGGCGGTCGCTTCGACGAGCGGCCCGGCGCCGAGGACACGAGCGCGGAGGCGAAGCGCGACCGCGTGCTGGCCCACTTCCCGCCGGCCATGGTCCCCCGCGCGATGGCGTTGATCACGCCCGCGCAGCCGGGCCGGGACCGGTGCCGCTTCTCGTTCCTCGCCGACGCGGCGACGGGCCGCGTGGCGCTGAGCTTCGCGGAGCGCGGCGCGGGCGCCGCGCCCGTCGACGGCCACGCGCTCGCGTCGCGCCGCGTCAACGACCTCCTGCCGCTGATCGTCGCCGCGGCGAACGCGCGCGGGGCGCTCCGCGCGAACCTCCGCGCCGCGCACGTCCACGCGCCGCGCTGGGCCGGCGCGGAGCCCGTGGTCGCGCTGGTCTACGAGGGCCCGCCGGCGGGCGAGGCCGCCTGGCTCGCGGCCGCGGACGCGCTCCGCGCCGACTGCGCGGCGGCCGCCGTCGGGCCCCGCGGCGCGGGCGAGGTCGTCCACGTCGTCGGCCGCTTCAAAGGTTCTACGCTCCTCTCCGGGACCAACGACTTCGTCGTCGACGCCCTCGACCTCGCCGACGGCCGGCGGCCGCGCTACGAGTTCCCCGAGGGCTCGTTCAGCCACCCGTGCGGGTCCGCGAACGAGCGGTCGCTCGACTGGCTCGTCGCGCGCGTCGACAACATTCGAGCAAACCTCGGCCGCGCGCCGAACCTGCTCGAGCTCTACTGCGGCTGCGGGAACCACACGGTCGCGCTCGCGCCGGCGACGGGGCGCACCGTCGCCGTCGAGGTCGACGCGCGGTTGACGGCCGCGGCGAAGAGGAATCTGGACCGCAACGGCGTCGCCAACGCGACGATCGTAACGGACACGGTGGGCGCGAGCCGCGGCGTGCACCGCGCGCTGCGCGCGAAGCGGTCCGGCGACGTCTGTTTTGATCTGTTGCTCGTCGACCCGCCGCGGCGCGGTTTGGACGCGGCGACGCGGACGTGCCTCGCGGCCTACGACCACGTGCTCTTCGTGTCCTGCAACCCGGCGGCCCTCGCCGAGGACCTGAAAGCCCTGGAGCCGACGCACGCCGTCGCCGCGGCCGCCGTCGTCGACGGCTTCCCGGGCACGCCGCACTGCGAGTGCCTCGTCCACTTTGCGAGGCGGCCGCCGCCGCGGCCGTCGTCCGTCGCCTTCGCCGCGCCCGTGCACCAGCCGCGGTCCCTGCGCGACACGGCGCTCGCCGTGCTGAGCGACAACGCGCGCGACCTCGGCACGGACGCCGTCGACGCGCTCGACGTCGCCGCGGCGTCGGACCTGCTGCGCTGGATCGTGTCCAAGCAGAAGCTCACGACGTCCATCGCCCTCGTCTTCATGCGGAGCCGCCACACGGACATCGCCGCCGCGCTCGGCCACCTGGACCTCGTCGCCGGCGTCGACACCTACGGGCCCGGCTACGTCCCCTCGGGCGGGCGGGCCTTCTAGCAGAGATCGTAACATATTTGAGGTTCTCGGCGTTCAGGCTTGATCTGAGATCAGCCCCCCCAGGCTTTGCTCGTTTTGTCAGATCTGGGCTAAAACGCGTCTTTCGCTAGCCGATGCAGCGGTTCCAGGACTTGGCGCGGCGCTCGGTCTGTGGACCTTGCCGCGCCTCGGGCCCGGGTGCGAGTCGCTCGGGAAAGACCATCGGTCGAAGGCGAGCAACTTAGTTCGCGTCGGGGCAGCCCGTGGATGACGAGAACGGCCGTTAATGGTGGGGGGCGACCGACGAGAGGCCCAACTTAGTTCCAGGGCTCGAGCGGGCCGCGGCATCTCGAGTAAACACCGCCTGGAATGTCCCTCCCGAGTGGCCTGTCAAGGTTGCCGCGGCCCGAACGCCGCATGCATTGCGCAGTGAGCGCCGTGTCACCCGCGGCGCCGCGCGCCTCCCGGAGCCGGTGAGGTGATCTCGATCAAATCGGCTCGAGCCGAA